AAATCCACAGAAACTTAAGCAAAACTAAGATATTAATCCACCAAACCGCATATTTAACAGTTTTCAGCCAATCACGATGGTGGATGTGAATTCGAATTCCCAGTTTTCGGCTGTTGAATAGCATAAAATCTTCGTTAAGATTAATACAAATAAATATTAGGCTAATTCTGTCATATAAGCTTCTTACAACTTCTGCTTGCCTTATCCTGATTGTTTATACAGCCTACATCTTATTAAATATGCACCATATTTTAAATATTTGAAATAGGGCTTAACAGAAATTAAAGCGGTCGTAATATCAGAGAAATTCTACCAAATCTAAAATAGATTTCTGCGAAGCCTCATCTCAGCAAACGTCACTAAAAAATAACAAAAAGTAATTATATTCAGGCAGTAAATTATTTAAACTTTACAACAGACTCTGCTTTTGCAGGATAAAATCTTTGCGTCTGTAAATATGATTTGTGTATTAAGTATAACTTGGTGTTGTTTATAAAATATACCAGCTTAAAAAGTGTTGTTCGATTAAAAAATAAATGATATTCCATACGAATTGACACAACTTTAAAAAAAATAACGCTAATGTAATATCAAGTTCGTAATGACGGAAGTAGTAAGAATGTCTGAAACGTCGATCATTTTCTTTCAGAATACACAGTGCAACATCCCGGAAGACAGTCAGTCAACTTCAATGACGCAAAGGTCTTGTTATCAGTAAAGTACAGCGTGCAAGTCGATTGTAAAGGCTTCTAATGAATTTGTATTGCGGCCTTACATTAATGGGTTCTTGGGCTTTATTTGTCATATTTTAAAACTATGTACCAACAAAGCAATTTTAATGTTCTGGTACTGAGGTAGTTGGAAATTAGTCATAATAAATTTATTGTATTGCGTATGAGGAAGAGAAATGACAATGATATTAGTAGTACTGTTAATGTTTTTAAAGGCAAAATTAGTTGCTCATCTGTTTTTGATACAGTTAGTCTCTGCATACCAACTAGGTCTATCAGAGACTACTCTACCTTTACGGTACAACGTAATTTCAAGGCCAGTCCCTCTGCCAGACGTTTTTCTGCCGCCAATGCAGTTTGTAGACGCATCGATATCTTTAACAAAGATCGTGTTTTGCTTACTGATGTCAGTCAGCTTTTTAAACAATAATCATTGTTTTTATTGTTTATTTAGTATTTTATTTTATGTTGTTTGTTCAAAAATGAACTGATTTTAATTTAATTATTATTTTACTTATGCATATTATTTAGCTCATTTACTTGTTAATTATTTTGCAACAAATATATGAATTGAATTATTATCATTATTAATATTGTACATTTATATATTAAGTTCATTGTTTGTTTGCTTTTGTATTGTAATGTTTGTATTGTTGTTAGTGCTTGGCTGTTATTGGCCTTTTTGGCTGTTGTCAAGCACTTAAATAAATTAATTAAATTTAATAATAATTGTAGTATAAAGGTCACTAACAGATGTAGAGATGACAGTAGGTAGATCTAACAATCGGAAGCAGAAAATATGTAACAAGAATTTACAGACTGAAGTTCCTGTTCATCTTTCTTTACTAAAAGTGAACGTCAGTCCTAACATGCAATATGCAAGTGGAGCTGTGTCAATATTAACTCCTTTAACGGGACCCCAATTTAGCGAAACGGACTAATAAAATATTCTACGTTAATATTGATTTTAAATATCCAACACTCGAAAGACGGTTCTGCGATTTGGTTTTTATTGTACTAGAAACAGCGCCATCAATAGGAAATAACATTTAAATATTTAATAAAGTATTATATAAAGATAGAAAGGAGGCGGGATACTGAGAAATAATAGTAACCAGGACCCTAACTGGAGGACTGAGATTCAACTCCAGAAAGAGTAGTAATCTTTCTCTTCGTTACAACGTCGAGACCGACTCTGGGGTCCTCCAGCTTCCGATCCGGTAAGCGCCTCCGTTCTTTCCTGGGGATAAAGCGGCCGAGGTGTGAGGGCATAAACTTGCCTCCGCCTTGTGCGGAGTTCAAGAATGAGTGGAGCTGTACCTCCACTCTTCCATACGACTGCTTGGAGTAGTGTTTATTTAAGCATCAGGATCCATATTGACACCAATTGGAATGAAAATGAACGGAAAGTAAAATAGCTTAATGAAAATTTAATATACTTTAATATCGTTCGGGAAGATTGGGCGTTGTTGTTTGGAGACGGACAGAGGCATATGAAGAAAGTGAAATGTAATTTTCAAACAATTCTTCGAACTTACGAAAATCAAGTTGTCTCCTTTAGAACTATTATTGTTTTACATAATGAGTCGATTATTTAGGCCAATTGTTTGGTTAAACCAAGTACGTTTCTAATGTTTGCGAATTATAAAATTGTTATTATTTATCAATTCAGTAAAGATAAGTATGAGTTTAAATGGATAAACACAAACAGAGAAAGTTATTTACTTTATATGAAAAGGCTTGGTAGCCTATAGATTGAGAAAAACATATTCAAATTAGAATATAGAGTGAACAAACCAACAACTATTAACACTATAATTGACACTATTGCCATACGCGTTTCGACCTCAAGAGGTCAACATCAATGGCATCAGGGAAATTAATACATATAGTCAAATGTTTCGAGGAAATTTTATAATTAAAATATAAAATTAGACATTTTATATAAATCTGTTCAAGGATAACGCATGCAGTTATTTTCGCAAAAATGCGTAAGTACAAACACACTAAGAATAGCAGTAAACGTTCGCCTTGTGACGGCAACTCGCCCTAAGTAACAAATACATTGTTATTATTATTATTTTACTTCACTTAATGTAAACAATGTAAAAATTTGAGGTTCTCACGACAGCGATATGTAAATTGCATTGTTTGTGATACCGTTTAGTCTTGTAGATATTCACCAAAGTTTTAGGGGAACATAAAGCTCCATCTTCAGAGTACATTTTTTTCTAAAACTTTGCTTACTCTAATATTTTCTTCTTGCAATAAAATACTCAAGCACTGTCAAATAAACCAATAAATGAAAAGAATAATTATTCTTCCATTCGATGCTACATAACCACACGCAATCAAAACAGTCGTTAAATGAAGAAATACACGATAATCTTACTATTTAACAACCTGTAACATTACGTAGTTGAGGAAGCGTCATTTAATGAACCCAGAAAACATGAAAAACCACGCCCTAGAGGTTTGACAAATACTCCTCAAGTATTTTTCGTTACTTTGTTCATGACGGAGAAGCTTGTTTTATGTTTTTGTCTGAAATGAAATCGAAGGAATTCTGCATTGACTTCGCTTCGCAAGGTACGTGGATTGAATCTCTGCGCCGCTATTTTGTTATTCTACTCAACACCTCGAAAGCAGGTTTACACAAACCATTACTCGCTTTCCAGTCCCTGTACTGCACATATGGAACTTTGATGATTTCTGTCTTCTGGGTTGTTGCGCTGTGTAGTCTGGTCGATGTTTACCAACGTTTCAGAGATCATACTGCCTCCGTCATCAGGACGATGAGTATGAAGATTTCTGTCTTCTGGGTTGTTGCGCTGTGTAGTCTGGTCGATGTTTACCAACGTTTCAGAGGTCATAGTGTTTCCGTCATCAGGGCGATTCACAGAAATCTTCATACTCACGGCTGTGAAAACCTCAAATCTTACATATGGAACTTTCCTTGTGCATATGAAGCACGAGAAACAGACTTTATTGTCACTACGGAACGTCGAAGTTTGGTGGTAAGTATTTCTGCTTCGTATTCGGAAGGACTAGATTCAGATCTTGGCCATGGAAAACGTGATTTGGAATTATCGTGTTTTTTGTCAATTTATCAGATAAGCACCGGGTTATGTTTCTAAACCAACATTCAAAAAATCTGAATGCTGTTAAAAATAAAGCGTCAAAGCATAAGACATTCAGAACATTTTTCAAGACACGAAACGGAAAAAAATATATTATAAAACATAAGCAAAAGCGATTCTTCGTAACAAAGATTTATATATTATTGTATAACATTAAATTCTAGATTCTGTCTTAAGAGATTGTTTCGACGGGCGAAAGTTCTGTAAGACATTAAAAACAATCTACATCCTCAGTCAAAATGGGCCGATACGATGAAATTAAGTGGGATGAAGTAAGAAAACTGAATGAATGTATAACTAGGAGGTTCTGAGCTTGGAATTTTTACTCTTCGCGGAATATTATTTGACTGGTAAAGTCAAGAATAATGGAGTGGGCTGAAGGGAAGAGACCACTTGAGAAATCTGGACGTAGATTGATGGATATTATTAAAGAGGATCTTAAAAATACGAGGGTGTAGAATTAAGTTATTTGGCTCAGAATAAGAGTAATCACTGGCGGGCTCTTGTGGCCAGGGTACATAAACTTTAGATTGCAGGCTATAAAAGGCGTAGAATTTCTTGTCGACTTGATCAACAAATAGCTTCTCAAAAGGTCTTTTATCTATGAAGGTATTTCGTTGCCGGAGGTAGCAGCTAATTCATTTAAAAGTATTCATTTCACTAAATGTCTTTTAAATTGCTAAGTCTAATAGGCCTACTTTATTAAAAATTAATTTCCTAATGTAAATTTACTAAAATCTACTAAATCTGACTTTCAGTTACATGGTCGATTAGTATGTAAATTAATGTAACTGTATGTACGTTATAAATTATATTATAGCAGCCCTCAACGCCCCGTCCCCAGTAGTTATAATTCAGTTGTAACAATAAAATCCCAAGTACTGAGGAAGCAATGTTTTCTTAAGTCTCTCAATCGACGGAACTATGTGGACATGTTTTGTAACGCACTAACACATCCTGAATCATTCAGGGTATGGATCATATTTATAATTACTTATAAGATAATCGAGCAATTAAATCCCTTACAAAAGGAAAAGTTCCGGACCATTTGACTACGTAATAGCTGGTCTTCATGCGTGCACCGATCACTCTGAGAATAATGAAACGTTGTACGGAAGTTGGCACTTACTTGTTGAAATGAGGGCCAGGACAAGAGAAATTAACTGCACCATCATCCGTGAATACTTCATTGTTGCTTGATGACTCTTCTGGTGCCAGTTATAGTTTGGTAACTTATCTGATATTCTCAGTTCAAATATTAGGCTAATTTATGTCTCCCTTTGTTGTTTTTTCAAACACTCACAGACACTTACAATGGACGAAACATAAAATTCACAAAACACACACGAAAATTCGAAGACGAAACATAAATTTTCTTTTTTCCTGAAGTAGAATAAAAATTACGATTCAGATAAATGACAAACGGCCTTAAAACCTGTTGTGCTGATGACGACTCGACATTTCTGCAGTGTCCAAAAGCATTTCTTGGTACTTTTAAGACCTCTCTACGTTAAAGTCAATAATATATACTTCTGTCGAAGCGTAACATCTCACAGATACTTTATTGCATTATTTTAAAACAAAATAAAATATGTTCATGTTTCTCTTTCATTAGAGTATAGTTCCATTAAAATCAGTTTTATCCGCCACCACAAACTGGTTTTTGCATAAAATTACGTAGGATTAAGCTAGTTGCGACATGTGAACAATAGGGCGTGTCGAGATCTTCTTTCTTTGTCTCAGGAAACAGGGATTCTCCTACTGAAGCAGCAGATGCCGAATATAGACGTTGTGTGTGTTTTATTCGCGACGCTCTCTCTCTGTCTCTCTCTCTCTTTCCACGCGCTCGTAGTGTGTCACTTGTTTTGCCTGTTGAGTTAACCACGGACAGGAATCAACTGAGCCTCTGAACATCAACAGAGGACACGCTCGCCACGACGGGAGATGCTGCAGCCGCCTCTGTCCAGACTTGCGCAATCGACACGATGTGTGCGCCAGCGCCCCCTATATTCGCCCCCCCCCCCCAACAAATACCGCGAAAGATACGGACAAAAGCAGTGTTGAAAGAATTGGGCATAACGCTTGTCCGAGGACTGTGTCAGTAATTACAATTTCGAAAACTGTTTTATGGTATAAATTCTGGTCTTCTGGGTCGTGATGCTGTGAAATCTAACAGGTTCTTTCCACGAGTAAACTGTAACCATTGGTAAATACCCACGACACTGCAAGACAACACAGCTCAGATCACAATAGACAATTTCACCGCCGTGAGAACCCCAAATTCCAAATAGCGTATTTTAAAAACTTCGTTAGAAATACCATGTTGCATCCTTATAATAAGCTGAAAAGTTAGTTATGTTTGAATGACTGTTTTGCGGCTACCACAGGTTAAACAAAACCCAATTCCAGTCAAAGGTTACATCATTTTATGTTATCTAAAACCACAATTCAGTTGCAGACATATGTGGTAGCTAACCGTGCTATAACGTTAGTTCCAAATCGTCACAGAAAATTGACGATGACAAGGGAAGTTATATGTGGGAATGGAAGATGGGTTAAAATAGCCATATGGCGGATATTTGTTAATAGCTGTGTCGTGAAATTGTGGGCCTACTACTAGACAGTAAAGTAAAGTGGTCTAGCGGTCAGAACGCTAGCCTGGGGTCCCGGGTTCAATTCCCGGTGGTGCTCAGATTTATAACTTGTGTTGGGCAAGGCCGTGGTCTAGGCAACACGGAGTTTTCCTCCGGGGGCTTCCCCGGTTTCTCCGTGGCATCCCAATAATTACTCCACTCACACACAGAAGAAGGCAATGGCAAACCACTTCTGGATCATCTGCCAAGAACGTATATGAACAGGTCCCAGTCCGAGAAAAGGATAGAAGGATCCTGTTCATATGGACCTGTCGTCAGACAGAACACTAAATAAAATAAATAATAAATAAAAAGTAACCGTAACAAAACATCAACAATATTACAGCAACAAAAATGTTTTTCTTCCGTGCTTTATTTAAGGACACTTTCTCGTGAGTGTAAGTTACACAGAATTCCGTCGTGTTGTAGGGTAGCTGATGATGATTAGACGGGAATACTGGCGAAGGAATAAGGGATTGGCAACCCGTGGCCTAAATATTTATTTTTTGAAACAGCGAATGTGGCCACAGACACAGAAAAGTTTGGGAATCTCGTCTGTATTAAGGAACGGCATATCTTATCATGAAAAGAGAATAATAACAACAAAGTATGTAACCCACCCCTTGAAACTGATTTAATTACGATAACGATGATGTAGATGACAATGATGGTAACTTCAGCTGTCACTATACGAGCCCATATGTACATCTGCACTGATTAATTAGTAATGCTTGCATCACACATATAGTAAGCGGCAAGGAAAATCAAGCACCGTATACTTTGTCCCTTGGTTTTATATAAATTTGGGCGCGTTCGAAATCCTGCCAATTTTATAATAAAATTGTTTCGTCCGTCCGTCTGTTAGTATGAAAGAAATATCTTGAGAACGCGTACAAAGAATTTGATATAATTTTATACTGGAAAATCTTACGAAAAACTATAGTGTCATTTTAATCGTCAGTTTTGCTGTACAATTTTAACAACCGTTTTACATAAGAGCATAAACACATGATCATATAACAATATGTCATTCTACACAAAAACAAATATTTCAGCTATTTCAACAGAAGATAGCAGCAGTTGAATTAAAAGTCGCGATTCAGTATAGACTGTATTTAAATCAGTTTTTATTCCGTTAATTAGTACTGTATTAATTCTGTTGTAAACTTAAGGTCATATATGCCTTGTAATACTGTAATTTGCTGTTTTGGTTTCTAATACACATGAATGCACAAAGGATCCTCAATAATAAATGGCACCACTGAGTCCTGTATGTAATTAAATGCAAGTACGTAATCAAACGTAGGCAAGTAATTAAACTCAAGAAAGTAATTAAACGCAACTAAACAATTAAACGTAAATCCATCTCTGTTGCCTTTTTTTTATTTAGAGGACTGATGCAGCATCCAACGAATCCTACAGAAGATTCAATCAATTAAATAATAGAAATCTCTGCACTGGTCTTTGAAAATAGTAGAAAGCGAGGACAAAGTAACGAAAAGGAAGTGAAAGAAACGCGCTTACAAACACGGAGTATCTAAAAACTGATCGATATCGACGTAAGTAAAGTGTATTTGTTCCTCGTCTGGAGTATGTGGTTTGCAGCTCTGTGATTATTCAAGCTCTCCTAAGCTTCGGTTTATAGAAAACAAAGTCATCAAATAATTAAAAATATCACTTTTCTCACTTTCGACATAAACAATTCTGCACCACGCCGGTATGTACTAATAATGTGAACATGAGGTTTATGCTTGTTAAACTAATTTTTATCATGCGAATAACTAACCCCACTATATCATAGTCCTTATATGGAAGCCAAAAGTACGCATAGCTGATTATGTTATCGAACGTGAAGTGACTTTTTTTCCGAAACAGTCCTAAAACATTTCAAAATCTTGGTTTTAATACATAAGAATAAGTGTATATAGACATAAATTGGTAAATAAATGATGGGACTTTGTCATGAATAGGAAATCCTTATGTATAGTCCTGGTTGGCGTTTACTGAATTGAATTTAGCTTGCAGGACTCTACTTTATACGTGCAAAATAAGAAAGTAAAACGGTCGACACAACTTTCACCTTTAAACTTTCACCTTTAAACTTTCCACTCTGGGATGTAAACACGTTTAAATGTGAATTTAAATAAATTGTTCATCAGGAAAAAAAAGCAATGAACTCTGAATAAACCACGTGGGCCTGGTACAGAATGTGATATGCTAACAAGGAGGAATGTTAATTAATTTCCTGCTCATTTATTTTTAGGCTGTGTGATGTATTAATCAGTGCGAGCCAAGAAATTGTTACACGAAGTAACAAACTAGTAATGAATCGCAGTGTTATTCTGCACCTTTAATTGACATGTCACTTAATATTCTGTTACCATCAGAGCAGCTTCAAAGTAACTTTTTCAGATTTACGAGCTTATTAAATAGTACCGTGTTCAGAATACCTCTTCACTGATAACTATTGAGTCACACGAATCCAGTCTATATCCTCTCACCTTGTGCCTTTAAGATCAATTTTAATATTTTTCTCCCATCTTATATTAGGTCTTCCAAATGGGTAATTACCTTAAAGCAGTGGTTCCCAAAGTGTGGGGCGCGCCCTCTTGGGGAGGGGGGAGTGGTGTTTGTATGAAAAACTTTTTTTAACGAAATATGGAGAAACATTTTTAACATCCTTTGCTTGGTTGAGAGAGTTTAGTTGTCTTACAGTGCTGTAGAATTCAGAGCGTATATTTTATTACAGTTTTTAAAATAAATGCATTTAATAATATATACTACATTATAAAAAATGTACACTTATAGCTAAATTTTATGTCAAATCTGTTTGCTTGCACTTGTTCTGAAATGTTTTAAGGGGGGCACAAGGTATAAAAGTTTGGGAACCTCTGCCTTAAAGTATTAACACAAAACTCACTCATGACCCGCGTTTCTCGTCCTCGTATCTACACACATACAGCAATCAGGAATTTAATCTCTCGAACCAGTAAAGAATTAGATTAAATAACAATGGAAAAAAGCAGTTTTGCTACTACTTTCACGGAGTATGCGTGATAGACCTGATCAAATTCAAAATTAATCCAATTATTTGTGCCCTCGGTTCGACCAGCAGGATTAATTATTAGTCTACTGCAAGTCTCTTAACGGTTACAGCCATGTTCCGAACCAGACTCGAAACCGCGAACTTTTCTCTCAACAAGGCTATACGTGGGACTGAAGAGGTTATGTATGTAACTGTCGTAATTTGAGCTAATTTATCTTAATCAACAGTATTAGTAGAATTATAGGAACAGCCAACAAATTCTTAAACCTTCAGACATGTAAAATCTTTGTTTCAACTTTTATTCTTTTAAAACTAAGTGGTAACAGTATGTAACACCTACTTTAACAATAAGTAATTCCGCGTGTTGCCAACAAAGTGTATTTTTGGTTTTATATGATTCTGAGAGTTAAAAGACGTGTTTCCGTAAAAAGAATTAATGATTATGGGTTGTTTTCTTTGAAGTACGGGATGAATATTCACATATTATTAAGTCTAGTTTCGACTTCAAACGGTTTGTTAGTGGAAATTGCATGTAATGGTCTTACATTACACTATTAAAACATTTTTCATCGATAATTTTCGTGGTAGCGCGGTCTGAGGAGTGGGTCTTAACGGTTCGGAAACTGGGATTGTGCATTCGATACGATTCCTATTCCAAACATGGATGTTTGTCAGCGTGTTTATGTGTTGTACTATGCCATGTAGATAGAGACTACAGTCCACGCAGAGTACATGCACGTATGAAAATCTAGGTTAATGCACCTCTCACAGGTATTACTGAACGTGTAAAACAAATATAAATCAAGCACAATGTGACGTTTCATACCGTACGCAAAGAAGCATAACGAATGCAATTCTCGATGAGCCCAATTAAATTCTATGGGATTTTTAAACGAGCTCTGATAAAAGAAGGTTTAGATCGAAATCGCTAATACCAAAGCCCATCATTTGACACCGTTTAGAGAAATATTTACTTTCTGTTAGAACGCCTGATTAATTCATTTCACTGCTTTCTTCAGTCACTCTGGATAGGACAACATCTATTTTCTTTAACGTCCTTCCAACTTCATGATTCAGAATCATCCTTTGGCTCAATATATATATAACGGATAAAAGTATATAACTAAACAACAGGGAAGAGGTAGTAAATAAGCTATGATGTACAGTTGAATATATTATAATGGGTTCCTTACTAATTAGTTATGATAATTTTATGTCTTATTCCGTAATTAAAGTTCTCCAGACAAAATTGAACGTTAGTAAAATAGTAAGTGATGAATTTCGTTAACTAAACAAACGGTTAGGACAAAGCAACCAAGAATGTTAACATAAATATTATATATTACGTTATTTACAACATATTTACATTATATTGTTTAATTAAATTCCACAGCCAAAAAAGGAAAAATCATAATAATATAAACCACGTTAATGTGAAACGTCACACATCAGACGGAATACAATTAACAATATAAATGTGGTGCATTACCACATATATTTAGAGAAGCACAAATGTAAGATATAGTAGTTTTGAGGCACACAGTTAAGACGCTGTGGTCAACATAATTCTAAATTAGCATCTGACGTTCCTTCTTATATCCGAATCAAAAACATGACCTAGAGTGTAAAGTCACAACAAAATCTTCAATAAAAACATGAGGATCAATGGTTCATGAAAATCAGACTTATTTCGTATTTAAACAAACTTCACACATTTCTTGAAATAAGATGAATAACTGCTACATCGCACTTCTTTCGAAAGTAATTTAGACGAAATTATTAACTTTCCGAATGACGCAGTTGGCAATCCGTAGCTTGAAATTTGTTTTTATCGGTTTAAAATTGAGGCTGAATTTGTGCGGCAGCAGATCTTTCTTATATTGTGTATTCAGTTACATATTACAGGTTCTGTTTGGCATCAGTACCAAGACTGAGCGACGGTCTGTTTGTTCATGTTTTTCAATACAACCAAATACCCTATTAAAATCCAATTAGAAACTTTCCTGTTGAAAGCAGCCAATAGGTAACGCTCAAACTAGATTTTTCTATTGAAAATAAGTATGAAAATACAAACCAAGCAAATTTTGCGTAGTGATAACCGCGTTGAACATATAAAGATTGATTCGTGTTTTATTATGCAAAAATAATAAACTACGTGACACTATAGCGTCATTATTTGTGTCGAGAAACTAGGGAATTTATAGACAATAAAATAAAATCGAATAGTCTTTTTATCTTTGCGTAAAAACAAACAAAATTCGGTGTTTTATTGATGAGTCTGAAGCCGAGCCCTCACTAGTGACGTAACAGCGTAACTAAGAACTAATTCGTATGTTTGGACGAAGTTACAGTATGTAACATTCGCTCATGTTCCGTTCACGGAGGGGCCGATCCACAGCGCAACCGACTTTTCAGCGAACGTCGATAGGACGCTATATTACGCCACCAGAGTAGGTTTTGACATGCAGGATCAGTAGACAGACAACTGACGGAGCAGAAGCGCGCAGTCCGTTCGCCCAAAATGTGCAACTGAACCTCACGTGAGTGGAATCCCTTGTTACATAAGCAAGTGTGGACCAGGCTTACGCTTTATGACCGTGGCCTCTGTTCCTCAGGCACAAGCGAAGCTGAAAATAAACAATAAATGGGAGTGAATCATAGGCAGTGGTTCATAAGTTTTGAGATGGGGAAAGGCAAAGGCGTGGGTAAAATTCTGCACGGGGATCCCCCCCCCCCGTCTTGAACCCCAGATATTTTATACATCACCATCCCTTATATCATTTTCCAACCAATTTTCTATCACAGAATATTTAGAAAAGACAAAGTAAATGATATTCGCAGCATTAAATATTTATTATAAGTCAATAAGTTATTTGTTCAGCGACGTTCATTCAGCTATTCCGGTTCTGCAATATTGATATAAGCGAAAATGGTGGATGTGGAATAATGAGCGAAGATATGGAAAAACTCACAGACAAATAGTTCAAAGACATATATATTTCATTACAAGTGGAGTACAGGACATCAGACTTATACAGTAGTCACGTACAAAGTTTCTGCCCGAACAAACTACAGCGAAACTCTCAAATAAGAAGCTACAGAACCGATAAGTTACCACAGTTTTTTATTCTGAACGTCAAGACGCTCTAACAATTATTTTTATACATTTTTAAATTTAACTAACAGTTTTTTTTGGCCCCCTCGTAAACACAAATTTAAATGGGGATGTAGGTCGTTAAGCACGGTTCATTGTTGATTTGCTAATTCGTTACGTGGAGTATGTGCGGGTAATTATGGCCATTTGATGACGTTGAGCGCTTGGAATCATAATAAAGTAACGAGGAGGGCCGAACAGTCCGCTGAATAACATCATTAACTGACTGATCTCTACGTAATTTAATATCGCTACTTCAATTGGAAAGATTATATATAACGTCCTGTGAGATGCAATTTGGTACCAGGTGGTAATGGAGTGTTTTAATACGTTATACTGATATTCGCTGAAAGACTCAGGAAAATCATGAAAGTGTTACTCAGGAAACTGTATAAGCCAACAAAGGGTTTGTGGCTTGAGGTTTTCACGGCGATGTAACTACAGATGGCGATCTCCTGGCTTTGCGTCGTATAGCAATTTTGGTTATGTGCCAAGGTTTCGGAAAAAAACAGCGCTTCCATCTATACGGCACAACAACCCAGAAGACCACCGCTTACAATAAGAAGACATGTTAATTACGCGTAGACCGCGTTCGTTTTCGTAGACTCCAAAAAAGTTGGCCTTTGTCTTCAATGCATCGGCCTACTCAACGATATATGGAGAAACGAGTGATGTACGTTTTATTGTGAATGCCAAAAAGGAGGCGATAAGTTTTGCATTATAAAATTCTCCCGGTAGACAGTCTCAAGTTACACGAAACACAGCCGATGACAGTGTCGACACCAGTGACACACGAAACGAACGACGTGTAGCTAGAGCGTGTGTTAACTCCCGTCTGCCGCTGTTGAATTCCAAGATTCCGCCATTCAAAACAAAACTGACCACATACAACTCAACCGGTTCCACATCTATCGAATCTGCGGATATAAGCCTAAATGATTTCATTCATAACCCTCATTAAAGAACAATGGGAAAACTGTTTAAAAGTTAAACTGAAGGTGAGGAAAGTTCAGTTGGTGCTCAAATCCGAGAGCATCCACGTAGTCGGCGCTCCCTACTGACGTATACCAAGGAATGAATATTTATCTTTGACAATGTTGATGTCGATCTGAATCGTTCCTGACACCCTTCGAATATTAATCTTGTACCCAAAGATGGCTGTCATCGCCCTGATGATGGAGGCAACAAGGACCTCTGAAACGTCGGTAAACTTCTACCAGACTACAAGGTGCTACAACATAGAAGACCGCCATCTTCAAACTCAAATCTTATTTAATATTTTATTAATACATACCACCCTAGCGGTTTTAGTATGTAAAGTTCTTCCATCAGTAAATCCCGAACCGCCTAATATACAGATGCAATTATTGGACAAATTTCATAACGCAACATGGGGAGGTTGGTTCCGTCTGTATGTTCGTATATCAATCTGTCCATCAACATGTTTCATCTTCGTAACTACTGCATGGTTTTCGACTACATTTATCTCTGGGAGGACCACACTGTTAGGGAAATTCAGTATCAGAGCGCGTCTGTCACACGGTAAACTCAGCTTTACAGGGCACCGGAATTGAACTTCTTGTTTATAACAGCTCATCACACAAAAAAATGGTACATTATATAACGTATGCAATCTATTTAAACCCGTAAAGTGGGATCTGTAAAATATTTCTTTGCATACGGCGAACAACCTCTGAAATAACATGTAAAGTAACTTCAAATTAATTCAGGCACCGTGAAGTGTGATGCCTGCAGTACGAATTTCTAAAATTTGATGATCTCGAGGGGGTTAAGTTGTCTATGTTGGTCTTCTGGGTTGTACCGCCATGAGACCTTGTAAGCAGATACCGGCGTTTCGGAGGAACATGGCGTCTCCGTCCCCAGGGCTTCATCACACAAGTCTACAAGCCGTGAAAGACCATCGACAGCTTAAAGCACTAATATGTCTGTTCCGTAGCAACAAATTGTTTTCTATAATAAATTAACATTGTGATCCATAAAATATGAAAAATAATGCGTTCGGAAAAAAACTTTTGTCGACGGCGATAGAGTTTAGGGCGATTTGCACTTCACTGAGAGCTCCGTTAAGTGCTAACGACCTCAGCGGCTTCGACCGACATTAAACGGGCCGCCAGCCAAGGACAATTTGTCCTATTTTATGAATAATGTGCGGATTTTCAAATGTATGGTTGCGATTTCAAGACAATCAGTGGAATATAAATATAATTTAAAATACTCTAGTTCTGTGGTTTATTGCGTGGGGCGGAAGTAAAACTATTCTTTGCACTGGTGCCACTGAATGCTTCAGTCTGCTAGACCTCGAACGAAGAGAAAATGGATTTCATTTTGCTAAAAGTCTGAACCACAAACGATATTAACTTTGGTCTATTAAAACAATACAAAACTTTTTGTAAGTTTTGCAACGGATAAGTGATACTAACAGGCCTTTAAAAAACATAGAGATAACATAATCAGATAATATAATCACACATACTAGTAGTACGAAGTGGTAATTGTGCTTTTTAATATTATAATGAACACAGGAAACAAAATATCTATAAATGTTAGTTACGTTGCAGAGGACAAGCTTTAGTAATCCTATTTCAAGCTTGTCAACACATACAACTTAAAATTATCTCTGTGATAAATTTTAACGTTATTAGGATTATAGTACCGCCCTTCAGCCACACAGAACTATCACCCGTAACTTATTAATCTTCAGTATCGACTTTAAATAACCTCTGAAGTAGATAAGGCATAATTAGTTAAATAACCTCAGAGTAAGCCATCATTGTACACTTTGAGCATTGGACACACTTCAGTGAGTCCAATTTGGATTCCTTGGTATTATATGAAGTGAAACCCTAGTTTTACAACTGTGTGTAACCAAAATCCTCCGAACAGTAAAGGAAATCGTAGATTTATGCGAAATACGTAGCAGTTGACGTGATATGCTGTGAGCTCTTTATAAGTAATTACCGTATAATAGATTCAGTATGCTGATACCTCTCAATTAAGCACTTTCGCGATAGCTGATGGACGCTGTAGCAAAACATGAAGGAGTAGTACAAAAGCATAGGACGGGGTGAGCTCAGTACCCCATGTTAGAATGAACATTGTACACAGAAAAACACTTACACGTCACACTACAATATTAACAGTTTTTTCCAAAGTCAGACCGCCAGTGATTTATTAATTTTCAGGCACATTCGTAACAGACAGTTGTAAATACGAGCTATCGCCGTGTATGTCTGTCTGTCGACATGAAACAGCGCGAAGACCATAGAATGGATTTTAAATAAATTCGACACTGAGGAGTATTACAAAATTTGTCGACAGATTCCAGTTTTTTAAAACTCGAACTGGTTCTTCACATGAAGGCCTATATGGTTTTCTTTGTGCGCAAGTAACTTTATTTAAATGGGAATTCAACAGCCAGACAGTGCCCACGATTCTGGTTACTGGCGCCAGCCAAGAAGGTAAAGTTTTATTAAGATTATTTAAAGATACTGTGTCAACTGCAGAACTTATTACCTTCGGATGTAAAGGGGAGATTATAATGAGTAGCTATGGATATGGAAGGTGGTCGATGTGGTATATTGGCGGCTCAAACGCATAATTAGCCAAAAAAGACTGATAGCAACAACAGAAAATCTTTAGTCAAAGCTAGTAACCTGACAAGGAATGGTATGTTACTTTACAAATTAAAACGAATGGCGTTACTGGTACACTGCATTCTTGTCGCTGTATCTGTCAACGTTTCATGCAAGGCCAAAGAGATCGTTGGTGAAGTGAGACAAAAAAACAACAACAACAACTCACTAAGATGATTACGGAATTCGGAATATTGTTGTCTCCACGGGTGTTTCTTTATATAGAAACTTGGAATGCGCGAGATGTCCCACCTTGAAGATCTTCAACTATTACCAGTTTGCAGTCGGAGGGATATGAAAGTCATCTCTCGTGCATTTATCTTATATAAAACAATAGGTGTGTTACAGTTTCAAATTTTCTTCCTTTTTACACTTCAACACCGTATATAGAATTTCCTGTTCTGAACATTCGCACAGGAATTGGTTTTTGGTAAAGAAATGGAAGAAGCTGTATAACACAGATGCGTTTCATCCCAGAAAATGCAGCTCTAAACCGCGCACAAAGTAAGCTAACCCAATCGAAGTCTTTATTGAACATTCGGCGAGGGAGGGAAATATACAGCTCCATTCGTCGACGGCCCTGCTGAATACTGCAGGGGCGAAATAAACGTTGTAGTGGCCAGAGTAATGAAAACCAAACTTGGCCAGACCAAGGTCTACGCCATAAAGTTTTAGGCCGCTACATGTAAATGAATAATTACTAAAACTAAAAAATCTGAATATTTATTAACTTCTTTCCGCATATTAACCTACTCAAAATTTTTTTTAATATTTTGTATCTATATAATTATGTCGTTACATAAATGTTTATACGAAGGCA